GCATGAAAAAAACCATCATCATAATATAGTTGAAACAGAACCTACGCATATGAGGGTAATTTGGGAAGTGCAATAACACTCGAAAAAATCTTGCATCTAATTCTAACAACTACACTATGGGGACCCAACTTATTGTGGGATTGACCAATAAGCAAATAAGTAAACCAGTAAATCAATCCAATCATACATGAATATACATACCAAGATATCAATGAAGCATTTATTAGAATGGTCCCAATGTGAAGACACTTAGTAAAGGAGTGAGGTTTTTCCACTTATTTATTGATGATATACATAGCAATATACATTATTTTCTTAAGAAGACTGCAGCAAACATCTCACTTTTCAGAAATGGTTACCTCGAGTAAAATGAACCATCTCCAGAATGAATCAAGATTTATTTTCGCATACATATCTTATCATTTAAGAGTAGGCTGGCTCAATAAGTGTGTACGATACATGAACTCATATTTCTCTCCTGTCATAGTTGGCATTGTATAGTTATTGTTTCCTCTTGATTTAGCCAGGGATGATGTGTCACCCTCCCTGATTGACAAAAAAATAAAAATAAAGCTGCACTATGAGTACAAATGCCACTATAATTATTAATATGCTCAAAGCAAGAAACTTGTATATGGTTTTCAACTTAAACCTCTGCTTGTCTTCCCAAATCTTTCAAATGAGCCATCTTGAACACAGACTTGGGTTGTTCAAGCTTGATTCAATAACCGTAGATTAAGAAAGGTTCAATCTCGCCTCTTATGTTCAAACAAGTCTTAAAGATGCCATAATAACTAAGCAATTCAAAGGTATCACTTATTTACGCACTATATTTAAAGCGTCTTACTTGTGATGGCTTAACTTTATATGAGTGTATTTCGTTAAAGCTTTTGTTAGGGTCTCTGTTTCTTTGGTGAAGAAATCAGATATCCAACCATCCGCCATTCCCAGACCTAACCTCCATGGCTGCTGTTCAACGGTAAGAAGATTATCAGACGCTGCCATTCTTAGACTTTGTGGAGTAAAAACCAAATCCGCAATCAAAATTTAATCAAACTAATCGAAAATTACAAACAAACAATCGAAACTAGCTTATTAAATCAAGCGAAAAAAGGAAATGTTTGAATAATACAGATGTTTAGAGGAAACACAGTGAGTAGAGACAAGAGATAAGAGAAGAGAAGGGAAGGGAAGGGAAAAGTGTAGAGTATTTATGTACACTCTACAGGTGATTGAATTGCAAATAGACATTTTCAACCACATGTATTTATGTACACTCTACAGGTGATTGAATTGCAGGGATTGCCTTTGCCTATATATCTTAAGGAAGTGAAGGCAGCAGAAGAGCGCAGATTGAAAAATGGAGTGCGTTTTGAATTCAATTAATCCACATACCATTTCTCTTTTTTTTGGATTTCTTCTTCTGATTCTGAGTTTTTTGAAGGGCAAGAAATCAGGAGACAAACCACCAGGGCCTAAAGGAATACCAATTTTTGGCAACATGTTTCACTTGGGGGATTTGCCTCACCAAACCATGTACCACTGGGGCAAAACCTATGGACCTCTCCTTTGGCTTAATCTCGGCCAGGTTAATACGATGATCGTTCAGAATGCCACTACGGCTGCTGAGTTGTTTAAGAAACACGACGTGCCGTTTGCTGACCGCAAGGTGCCTGATACACTCACGGCATTCAATTTCAATGCGGGGTCTTTGGGGATGAACACGTTTGGTGGACACTGGAGGGTACTCCGGCGACTTTGTTCCATGGAATTCTTGGTGAACAAGAGAATGAATGAGACGATTGAGTTGAGAATGAGGCTTATGCGCGACATGATACGATGGATTGAAGAGGACTCAAAAACATCACTAGCTCAGGGAGGAACCGGGGCGGTGCAACTAAGCCGGTTCCTCTTCCTTATGGCGTTTAACTTGGTAGGAAACCTGATGTTATCCCGGGATTTGCTAGATGCAAAGGATCCTGAAGGGAAGGAGTTCTTTGATTGTATGAACGTTATTCTTGAGCTTGCAGGAACACCAAATATAGCAGACTTCTTTCCAGCTTTGAAGTTGATCGATCCACTCGGGATGAAGAGGAAAATGACAAGGAACATGAGCAAAACCATGAAAATTTCTTCCAAGTTCGTGCAGGAGAGGCTCGACAACAGGAAAGCAGGCAAATTCCAGGAAAAGAAAGACTTTCTTGATGTGTTGTTGGAATACGAAGGCGATGGCAAGGACGGGCCTGACAGAATGACAGAGCACAATGTGAACATTGTTATCATGGTATGTATTCTTCACTACTTTTTTCTTTATACAGTCCGTTTTCATAGTGACAGCAAATTCAAGTTCCATCTGTACATATAAATGCGGAGAAAACTTGTGTATATTGATTCAAAGAAATATAAATAAGGAGGAAAAAGAGAGGGAGAGCCGTGTGTGTTAAGGGTAAGAGTCAGTGTGTTGGATTTTGAAGGGAGAGATGTTGATAATTGTGAAATGAATTGATCTAACAAGTTGAAGTCATCGTCTACAGTGTTATATGGTTTAACTCCTTGAGTACACTGAATTGACCATCTCTTTGACTGATGGCTAATTTAACAGGAAATGTTCTTTGCTGGATCTGAGACTACTAGTATCAGCATCGAATGGGGTTTCGCAGAGCTACTACGCAACCCACACGCGTTCAGGAAGGTTAGAGAGGAGCTCGACAGTGTGGTCGGAGTAGACAGGCTGGTGGAAGAGAAAGACGTCGAGAACATGCCATATCTCCAAGCAGTTGTTAAGGAAACTCTCCGATTGCACCCTGCACTGCCCTTGCTCCTGCCAAGAAACACAACGGAGGACACCAACTACATGGGGTACCTTATCCCAAAGGGCACCCAAGTTCTTGTGAACGCTTGGGCCGTTGGAAGAGATCCAGAGTCCTGGGATGACCCCTTGAGTTTCAAGCCAGAAAGGTTCTTGAAATCAAGCATTGAGTACAAAGGACAACACTTCGAGTTGATTCCCTTTGGTTCTGGAAGAAGGATTTGTGTAGGGTTCCCCTTGGCTCATAGGGTGGTTCACCTCACCATTGCCACCTTGGTCCAGGCTTTCGACTGGGACCTAGGGGCCGGTGTCAAACCCGAACACATTGACATGCAAGAAAGGTTGGGATTAACTCTGAGGAAGAAGAATCCACTCAAGGTCATACCCAAGAGAAGAGTACATGTTTAAGGATAAAATAATCATAGCAGATTATGACCCAATCTGTTGATTGCTTTGCTGAAAAATCTTTTAATTTAACGTCAAGAAATCTCGTTTCTTCCTGATTAAAGTTAAGAGAGTACATGTTTAAGGATAAAATAATCACAGCAGATTATAATCCAATCCGATGATTGCGGTGCTCAAAATCTTTTAATTTTTATTACGTTAAGATGTCTTGTTTCTTTTAATTTGTGAGTGATTTTAATTCAATTAAAATTGAAAATATAATCATTATTGGGTCATACTCGTCTAATAAAAGTCAACAATAACGGCTCGTTTTTCAATTTTAATCCGATTTTAATCTCTACCAAACAAGTTCATAATATATGTGCATGTATATTTATTTTTTGTAATCCATTCCTTTTTACTTTTTTTGCAATTTGGCGAAGTTGTCACAAATTAGGCTAATCAAGTGATTCTAAGTCCCTTTTTGTTCTATAAAATTCTTTTTTGATTTAATTATTAATCATATATTCTCCCAACAAAATAATTTACACATAAACTCGAAAAATTTTCTACTTTTTAACCACATATTATTCAAAAATTACTATTTCATAATAGCCAGCAAATAAGACCAAGGGAATTATTGTTCATGCATTAACTCAATTTTGGCTAAGGCTAACAAAAATATCTTTTTTGTTAAAATTAATTGTTGACTTTAATTTTGATTTTTATCAAATTTTTAAGTTGTTACTAAGTATAGGTACTATGTAATTATTTTCTAATTATTATGTAAACAGATAATTTTATACTATATGAGGAGTTATTTTCAAAATAAATAACTTGTTTACTCTTAACTTCGTTTAGGTGGATTCTGAGGACATATCCATGAGGAGACTTAAGGCTTGTTTTACGTAAATTTTTAAAAATTTATTTTTCTTTAAAATCATTTTTGACTATACATTTTATAAAATCCATAATTTTTCTCCCCTTTTAAACCATATTTTAAAAAAAAAAATCATTTTTTTCATTTCAAAAATTGTATCAAAGCTTTTAATATTATTATTTTAATATGTATCTTATAGTATCAGAAGTCAGAACCATATTCGGGGATGTAGCTCAGATGGTAGAGCGCTCGCTTAGCATGCGAGAGGTACGGGGATCGATACCCCGCATCTCCATTTTCTAAATTTTAGTTTATTTACACTGATTTGGGCCGTATTTGGACTATAATTTTTTATTCGGTCTTGAAAGTCCAATTTTTCCTTCCAAGCAAGGCCCAGTACTAATTGACTAGGGGCTTGTGTTTCGAAATGATCACGTTTTCACTTTTTATTGTGGCTTCCCCAAACTGTATCCAATATTTCAAAGGGGAAATTAGGCCCACTGCCCCAAAAAATTAAGAATTTTGAATAATACCCGTTAATTAATTAATGCATTTAATCACGTAATTAATACTTCTAAACTTCCAAAACCCTTGTGGCATTTCGTTCAGAAGAGCATCATCAATGGCGAAACCTCTGGGACCCACATGCGAGTTCTTTAGGAGGCGGGACGAGTGGTGGAAGCACCCGATGATGACGAACCAGAGGCGCCACGCCACCCCCGGCTTGGCTTCGCTCTCGTCGCTTTTGGAGTGACAGTAGAAGAACCAGCAGGAGCACGAGTCGACGATTTTGCAACATTTTCTTCAGGTTCTGAACTTGATTTGTTCTACGGCAGGAAGTACAAGTGAAGACATAGTTTGCTCCAGTTAGTTATTACAAACAAAGCTAAACCAATCCAATATAATGGGTAACTAAAGGAGATGAAATTATAAAGCCCCCATCAAGAAGATTCTGCGTAAAAATTGTGATTCTTGATTGTTTAAAGCAACACCCGATAAAGCTCCCTCCTTCCTAGAGCAACAGCAGGGCTGACTGTGTTTGAATCTGGGAGGACTCGATGGCAAACATCAAATTAGCCCTTGATTGATCCAGGTTGAGATTTCCCTCTCCTGCACTTGCTGTCAGCTCAAAAGGAGTGGAACTTTCAACCACAGGATCAATGCTAGCACGGGCAAAGCTAGATCTAATCTCAGGTTGAACACCATTATCAGGTTCTAA